ACAAAAATTGTTTCTACTTGCTTCCTCTTTTTGGTTCTGTTTTCTTTGAGCTCACGCACACTGAAGACTTTTTTTTTTTTACTTTCATAACATTCCCCAATGAGATAAACTATTATCTCATTAATAAACATAATCAAATAACATGAATAAAGAGGTAGTGGATTTAAAAAAAATAGTTTAGGCACATTAACCCAACAAACGCCTCAAGATACCACCCTTATTCAAAAACAACCTCGATCTCTTAACCGATAACCCGGTTATCACATAACATTTGATATCACACTCGATATCACCGACAATAAGAGTAGGTTATCAACATTCTACGTACTATATTCATTTAACAAATTCTGGTCCGAGTTTTAACAATGTTGATGTTTGCTTATCACATTATTAACACATAAGAGTAGGTTCTTTGCTTATCACATTTTTTTATAACTCTAATGTATCACAAGTTGTTTGCTTACCAAATATTATAACACACTATCACATAACTATCAGCTATTAGCACATACTATCGTACATTCATGTACTTGGATTGACATTTTAGAGAGTAATTGAAAATGGAGATAATCCATTAATTTATAAGGTGTTATGTGATTTATCTTATAACAACTACAAATTTATGCGTATAGGAACAATGAAAAGGAGCTATAGGTTAGTATCAAACAAGAAGGGAACAAATTTTTCTAACACCGTAGAGAACCCTTTGGATGTTGAAAATGAGAGTGAAAATGTTCCAGAATTGAACGTTAACCAGGGAGATGAAGTGTGACTGATGGTTTAACTAGAGAAGATATATATATTATTTATTTGTTTTTCTAAAAATGTGATTGTAGTATTTCATATGTTCCATACCTACAGATGTGTGATATGTTTATGACATGTGATTTGCACAAGTTGGTTAATATGAATGATATGAGGTATACCGTAACTTTGTCTATACCTCTAAAATTGTCGGCTTCTCCTCCTTAACAACAATGGTAACTCCCTTCTCCACTGGAAAAATGGAGCTCATAAATTCTCAACAACAATAGTTCTCCGCTTTACGTAAATCCCTTCTCCCTCTCCCCATCCCTCCTCCTACCATCCCCATCGTCTCAACATCCGTGTGTGAAGATCAAGAATCTTTAATCTATCTGGATCGATCAATCTTGAGATGTTCTTTTATAGTCCATCAATCTGTGGAGCCTGATCGATTTGTTTTTCTCTCAATTTTTCTGATTTAGAATTAGGTATTTGTTTAGATTTAGGGTTAGTTTTATATAATAAATTTTTATATTTTTATGCTCCTAAAGTTACTAGTGTTAGTTCTTCATGTTAATGCTGATGTCATGGTTGAATAAGTTTGATTTTGAGTTTTGATGATTAAGATATAAAGATTTAAGTTTATTTGGTTTGTGCTCTGGTGTGAGATGACCATAGATAGGGTTATGTGGTTGGAAAACATGACCAAATGAAGGGGCTGTGTGGTCGTAGAACATAATCGGAGAAGGGGTCGTGTGGTCGTAGAACATAATCGGAGAAGGGGTTGTGTGGCCGTAGAATATGCCAGGAGATAAGGCGGTGGTGGCCTGAGAATAACTTGAGAAGGGGCATTTATTATCGAAAAAATAATATTTTTTTTAAAAGTAAAAGGACTAAAATACCCTTAATTTAGAGAATCTAAAATTAATGATATCAAGGAGAGGGACCTAATCTGTAACAAAAGAGAAACCATAATTACCATAAATACGATTATTCCGTTTGGAGGCCACAATCAAAACTTCATATAATCACATGGACATAATTTGTAATTTACTCTATAAAATATTATATACGAATTGGCAATAATTACAAAAAAGTTTAGGTTCTAAAATATTATAATTGATCCTTCTCTAAATGTTAAGATTATGCTTATCAAGTTTTTAAAAGCTTTCCTAAAGATAAGTTCAATATAAAAAATCCAGAATTCTAAGATATATAATATATATATTATTATATACCCCATACACGTGTGTGTAATTATCTCTTAAATTCATGAGTTGATATGAATCTCTTTCCAATAATTAATAGTCATCACATAAATATTATACTATATGATATTATATATTATATGTATGTATACTATATTATAAAATACTTGACAAAAATTTTTAAAAATCATTATTTATATAAGAAATACCGTTTATTGATGCATATTACTTGAAATTCAAGATTACAAGTAAATTATGTGTAAGTACAACTTATTAAAGGTTCATGTTTGAATTCGTATAACTAACAGCAGATAAATATAATCGAGAGAATAAATATCTCATTTTAAATATAAAATATTTAAAATATAATTAGAATAATCATTGAATTATAATAAAATACTTAATTATTATCTTTATAAAAAATATATTAAACAAAAAATAAAAAATGAATTAAAGAAATACATAATTTTTTTTTAATAGTTAGTTTGGTACTAAATATCATTTTTTTTTAATTCTTTATGATGTTTTCATATTTATTTTTTATTTAAAAACACAAGTATTATCGCTTTCTCAAAATCATATAAAATCGTATTATAACATCGATAGAGACAAAAAAAAAATATAAAACATTAAAATCGAGATGTAGCTCGCTGTATTGTGTGAGTACACTTCTAGTATATATATAATATGGTTAAAAATTTCACAAACAAGATTGTTGCTTATAAATCACCTTTGAGGTTTTATGTTTACAAGTAATTGGTATATACATACAAATATTTGAAGTATTTATAGTAAATTCTTTAAAATAAGAAAATAAATATTTTTTTTTATTTTGTTCCAACAACTTCTTTATATTATTTTCTAA